CTTTAATATGTTGTTGACATTAGTTAGGAGTATATCTGGGACTTGAACTGGCATTCCTATATGGAATGCTGGTATTGCATGCTTCAGTTTTACTAGCTGTGCTACAATGCCAACCCAATACTTTTCTGATTCTTTTTTTTTAAGATTTATTATTATTATTTTTAATTTTGTTGGAAAGGCAGATATACAGAGAGGAGGAGGGACAGAGGAAGATCTTCCATCTGTTGGTTCACTCCATAAGCGGCCGCAATGGCCAGAGCTGAGCCAATCTGAAGCCAGACCCAGGAGCCTTTTTTCAGTCTCCCATGTGGGTGCAGGGTCCCAAGGCTTTGGGTCATCCTTGACTGCTTTCCCAGGCCACAGACAGGGAGCTGGTTGGGAAATGGTGCCACTGGGATTAGAACCAGTGCCCATATGGGATCCTGGTGCATTCAAGGCAAGGACTTTAGCCGTTATGCTATCCCGCCTAGCCCTATTTCATTATTTTAAAATTTATTTGGAAGATATCTTTCATATTGGTTTGCTCACCAAATTTAACAGCTTGGGGCTGGGCCAGACTGATGCTGAGAGTTCCAAATTCAGCTTGGGTCTCCTGTGTGGGTGACTGGAAGCCAGCTTTCATTGAGCTTTCACCTGCTGCCTCCCAGTAATGCATGGTAACAGCAAACTGAGAACAGAGCCAGAACTCAAAAGTAGGTACCCTGATACATCTTGTGTGAGGGTCTCAACTGATGTCTGAAGTAGAACAACAAATGCCTCTGCATGAGGATTTTTCTTCAACTTACTCATAATTCCATTTCTCCTATAGCCTGAAAACACAATAATTTGATAGTATCAATTCTATCCAGCATTGAACTCCTGCTTGTGCTATAGGTTTTTCATTCGTTGATCAAATCCACATATGTATGCATTACTGACTTGCCGTGGGACTGTCATCTGGGATGTTACATCATACTCATCCTGGGGAATTCTTTCAATTCCCTCACATCAGCATTTGCTGGCTCCTTTTCGCCAACCTTGGGTTTTCCCGATGCTTTACCTGTTACCCAGTCTCTGGTAGCTTGCTGGGAAAGGTGACAAAAAAAGTGTTCCTTCTTTTTTTTTTTTTTAAGATTTTAAAATTTATTTGAAAGAGTTACAGAGAGATCTTCCATCATTGGTTCACTTTTCAGCTGGCTGAAACAGGAGCTTCATCCAGTTCTCCCACTTGGGTAGCAGGGGTCCAAGCACTTTGGGCCATTTTCTGCTGCTTTTCTTAGGCCATGAACAGGAAACTGGATAAAAAGGATAGTGTCTGGGGCACAAACACATGTTCAAAGGGGATGCCAGCATTGTAGCCAGTGGCTTTACCCTCATTTTTATAATTTTTATCACATTCTCACTTTCTAAATATGATTTCCTTTTCTAAGGATGTATCTTGCTTCCAATATATGTATATGTTTTCTATTTTCTTCATTTCTGTTCACCTCATCTTTCCCACCATTTGTTTGTTTTGGTACTTTTTTTATTGGAATATTTTCTCAATGCTTTGTATTACCTGGCCTTTTCGTTGTGTGTTTTTTTTTAAAAGGTCTGTTCTTTGATGGATAACTTACATTGTACAAAATGTGTAGTTTTTCATTGTTTAATGAGTTTTGATAAATGAACTGAGTTGTGTAACCAGCCCCTCAATCAGGTATGTACATATACATCACCTCAGAAAGCTTCCTGCTGCCTTGTTGCTGTGTTTGTTCCTTATATCTGCCTACTCCTTCCTACACCACTCATCCTCTGACTTCCATTACTGTGGTTACTTTTGCCTGTTTATAATTTGCATATAATATATCCAGATAGTTTTTGTATCTGACTATAGGTTGGCATCAGTTTTTGAGATCCATTTGTATTGTATGAACCAATAGTTATATATACATATATGGAGAGAGAGAGAGAGACTTATTTATTCTTATTGGAAATTTAGATTTATAGAGAGAAGGAGAGACAGAGATCTTCTCTCCATTGGTTCTCTGCCCAACTGGCCACAAAGGGTGGAGCTGAGCTGATCAGGAGCTAGGAGCCAGGAGCTTCTTCTGGGTCTCCCATATGGGTGCATGGTCCCAAAGTTTTGGGCCATCCTCTGTTGCTTTCTCTGGTTACAAGCAGGGAGCTGGATCTGAAGTGGAGCAGCTGAAACATGAATTGCTGCCCATATGGGATGCTGGTGCTTGAAGCTGGAGTATTAGCCAGTTGAGCCATTGCAGTAGCTCCACTAAATTATATTCTGATGGTTGATTTTCTTGTTTCTTCTGCTAGATGATGTGCAGTATAGTTAGTAAAGCTATTATGAAAATTAGGCATTTTAAAGAAATAGATAACCTAGTAGCTGACATTTATTCCTTCATTATTGTAATTAATGAGACAAGCTTTGTTCTGTTTTCCACTTTCACATTTTAAAAGAAAAGTAAAATTGAATTAGTATATTAAATATTAATGAGTCCAATTTTAATATTTACACTCTTCTCTAGAATCTTACCAAGAATTAGTTTTTGTTGTTTTATCATTCCTGTACATATTGTTGCATCATGAACCCTCCCTCTGTACCATCAACATTTATTGAATGATAAGCTGTATGCCTGGCCTCCTTCAGTCTTATCTTGTTGGTTTTTCTGCCGAAATTGCTGTTGATTCCTGGTTTTGGGTGAACAACACATTCTTTTATTTATTTATTTATTTTTCTTCTTAGAATTCCTTATTTCCTTTTTAGACACCATAAACATTATTTTTCCAGTTTCATGTGCTTAAATGTGCTATCTATGCATGGCTTTTATTACTACCTATATTTTCATGCCTCCCTTGAAACTCCTTTTAAGCTTTACATTTATAATTCTACATTCCCAATCAATCTGTATAAGGTCTCTCATACTCACTATGTTTTTAACAGAGATGACTATCTTTTCTTTCTTTTTCTTTTTTTTTTTTTAAGATTTATTTTTATTACAAGGTCAGATATACATAGAGAAGGAGAGACAGAGAGGAAGATCTTCCGTCCGATGATTCACTCCCCAAGTGAGCGCAACAGCTGGTGCTGCGCTGATCCCAGGCCACAAGCAGGGAGCTGGATGGGAAGTGGAGCTGCTGGGATTAGAACCGGTGCCCATATGGGATCCTGGCGCGTTCAAGGCGAGGACTTTAGCCACTAGACCACGCTGCAGCCCCCATCTTTTCTTTCTGACCAACTCTTTCTTGGGTGTCCTGTCTCTAAGCTAATATTGTTCTGAGTGTTTGGATCAATTTTAAGTCGCCTCTTAGGATACAAACATCCCATATCAGAGTGACTAGGTTCAAGTCACAGCTCTGCTTCCAATGCCAGTTCCATGCTCATTTGTATTATGGGATGAAACAGGTAATGTCTCAAATACTTGGGTCCCTGCCACGCTGTGAGAACCCCATATTACGTTCCTCCTAGCTTCAGCCTTGCCCAGCCCTGGCTGTTGACAGGCACTGAGAAATGAACCAGTGGATGGAATATGTCTGCTTTTCTCTTTTTTTTTTAAGGATTTATTTTTATTATTTTTTTATTGGAAAGGCGGACATAAAGAGAGGAGAGACAGAGAGGAAGATCTTCCATCCGATGATTCATTCCCCAAGTGAGCGCAACAGCTGATGCGATGCCGATCCGAAGCTAGGAGCCTCTTCCGGGTCTCCCATGCGGGTGCAGGCTCCCAAAGCCTTGGGTCGTCCTCGACTGCTTTCCTGGGCCACAGGCAGGGAGCTGGAAGGGAAGCGGGGCTGCCAGGATTAGAACCGGCGCCCATATGGGATTCCGGGCGTGCAAGGCGAGGACCTGAACCACTGCGCCATCGCACCGGGCCCAGATGTCTGCTTTTCTAACAAATATGCAAGTTTCCTAGGATAGAAATTTAGATATTATTCTCAGTTTCTTCTAGTCTCAGTGAGGTTTCAGATTCTGAATTTTTCTAATGGATAATTTCCAGATTTAACTGCTTCTTGTCTCAAGGCAGTCTAAGTTTTGCTTCCCAATTTGTTTTATATTCTATGTTGTTTGTAGACTGAGATGTATACATTATATCTGAGAGTGTTTTGTTTCTGCCTTCCTGGAGTTTATTATATCTGAATCGCTTTCTTGAGACTGAGCATAATCTCTGTGACTTGGTCTCTGGTTTTTTTTAGGTTTATTGTTTACTACTTTCCGCCATGCTTATTTTATTCTAGTAATGTGTAAGATCTCTTCATACATCCATGCATTCTGAAACAAGTTACTACCTTTGCCTGGCATTCCTTCTACCTCTTTTTTGGTTTAGCCTTTAAAGTTTAATGTGTTCCTCTTCTTCAACCATAAGCCTTTTCTCCAACATGGATCAAAGATATCATTGTTTTGCCTGCATTGGGATTGTGGTACCGACCACGTACTTCTGTAAAAGATACTTCTTTCTGTGTCCTTGCAGTCAGATTTTTCTATATAGGGAAAAAAAGTTTTCAGTGCCCTGAAATAAGTAAAAGCTCAGTAATGTCTTTGGTAGTGGGCATCTAAACATTTTAGGTTGTTATTATCTATTTTTAAATTATTTTATTTGTAAGTGATGACAAATTAAGCTAAATTTAGAGACTATCCGCGACGTCAGAGATGTGTTCAAGAATTACAAACAATATGTGCTTTATCAAAGGAAATGAGAATATTACTGCTGAAAGCATTAATGCTGGCACCCAGTGCCATGTAGCTTACCCCCTACTTTGAAATGCTTGCTACTTCTTTTTTTGTTCCTTTCTAAAATTTCTGTGTTTATTTATAGTTGTGTCTTGAAAATAGCAAGATAGCAATTTGCACACTTTTTTCAGGATTTAAAAATTAGAATTATGACCAAATTTTGTTGAGTTTGTTGAACTTGCCAATATTTCAAGAGAGAATTAATATTTGCCAGTTTTTCTTAGATATTGGATTCAGAGAAGACTTTGAGAACCACACTTTTACCCACTGATTTCTTACTTCTGTTTCTGAATTGCAGTTACAGATGTGGAGCTCAAGCGACTCAAAGATGCCTTCAAGAGGACCTGTGGACTCTCGTATTACATGGGCCAGCTCTGCTTCATCAGAGAAGTGCTTGGGGATGGAGTGCCTCCAAAAGTTGCTGAGGTAATCTTCATGTTCAGGTTTTCCTTTCATACAGGCATGTAGCACCTTAAATTGAGGATCCTCCTGATATCAGCAGATTTAATCTGCCTTATTGTTTTTTTAACTTCTGCATAGGTAAGCATGTCTTGTTTTAGAAGTCAATGTGGCATGCATGATCTAAGAGCCTAAATGGGAGTACTGCAGAACTGCAGTTCTGCCTATAGTACTTTTTTAAAAATAAGATTTATTTTATTTATTTTTTATTGGAAAGTCAGATATACAGAGAGGAGAGACAGAGAGGAAGATCTTCCGTCTGATGATTCACACCCCAAGTGAGCGCAATGGCCGATGATGCCGATTTGAAGCCAGGATCCAGGAACTTCTTTCCGGGTATCCCACACGGGTGCAGGGTCCCAAGGCTTTAGGCTGTCTTCGACTGCTTTCCAGGGCCACAGGCAGGGAGCTGGATGGGAAGAGGGGCCGCCAGGATTAGAACTGGTGCCCATATAGGATCCTGGGCCCTGGGCATGCAAGGCGAGGACCTTAACCACTATGCTATCGCGCTGGGCCCCTATTGTACTTTTGAGCTTTGATAGCCATGTGTAGTTTATATGGTTAAAAATTTCATCTCATTGACATTTTTTAATGTCTTTTATTTGACACACACACACGCCCTGCAGTGGCAGAGAGACTACTTAGAGGTCTATTTTTAGGGTTTTCTCTTTCAGGATAAATTCACCTTCTCATTTTCCTTCCCTCCTTTCCTTCTTTCTGTTTGTTTATTAATTTGAAAGGCAGAGTTAGAGACAAAGAGCTTCCGTTTGCTGATTCACTTCCCAAATGGCCACAATGACCAGGGTTGGACCAGTTCAAAGCTAGGAGCCAGGAGCTTCTGGATCTCCCAAATAGGTGCAAGGGCCCAAATACTTGATTCTTCCTCTGCTGCTTTCCCAGGCACATTAGTAGGAAATTGGATCAGAAGTGGAACACCTAGGATCTGAACTTGCATCCATAGGGAATGCCAGTACCACAGGTGGTAGGCAGCTTATGCCATAGCACTGGGCCCCTCACTTTTTATTTTTTTTTTAAGATTTATTTATTTTTATTGCAAAGTCAGGTATAAAGAGAGGAGGGGGAAGATAGGAAGATCTTCCATCCGTTGATTCATTCCCCAAATGGCCACAAGGGCCAGAGCTGAGCTGATCTGGAGCCAGAGCCTCTTCTGGGTCTCCCACGTGGGTGCAGGGTTCCAAGGCTTTGGGCCGTCCTCGACTGCTTTCCCAGGCCACAAGCAGGGAGCTGGATGGGAAGCAGGGCTGCTGGGATTAGAACCAGTGCCTATATGGGATCCTGGCATGTGTAAGGCGAGGACTTTAGCTGCTACTATGCTGCCTCCCCCCCACCCCCACTTTCTTTCAATTTTTTTAAAAATTGAGTCACTATCTTGAGTGGTCATTCATTACTTGGACTTGGGCTTTAGAATTTTTCTTTATTTTTAATGATTTATTTTATTTATTTATTTTTGAAAGACAGAGCCATATACATAGAGGGAGAGACAGAGAGTTGTATATGCAGGGGAGACAAAGAAAACTTCAGTTTGCTGATTCATTCCCTGTGTGACCTCAGCGACTGGACTGGGCTAGACCACAGCCAGGAGCCTGGAACTCAATCCAGGTCTCCCATGTGGTCGGCAGGCACATAAAGACTTGGGTCATCTTCCACTGCTTCATCTGTTACATTGGCAGGGAGCTAGATTCTAAGTGGAACAGCTGATATTCGAATTGGCTTCCATGTGCAATGCCAGTGTTGTAGGCAGTCATTTAAACCAACAGTATCACAATGCTAACCCCTAGAATTTTTAATTTTAAGATATGACTAACAATTTAATATGATACAAGTTGTCAGTTGTAGGAAAGGGCTTAAATTAAGTCCTTGTTCATCAATACAAAATGAATACTGATTTAAATATATGATATCTTCCACAGCTCTTTTTATTTCTTTTAAAAATATTTTTATTTATTTATTTTGGAAGAGTTACAGAGAAGAATGCATAAATAATTTTCCTTTTGCTGATATACTCCCAGATAGCCACAGTGGTCCATGCTGTGCCACACTAAAATCGAGAGCCAGGGGCTTCATCTGGGTCTCCCACATGGGTGACAGGATTCTAAACATTTGTGCCATCTTTTGATGCTTCCACAGTTACACTGGCTGGGAGGTGCATTGGAAGGGTAGCATCTGGTACACAACCCTGCCGGTGTCCCTGGTAGTCTCCTAACCTGCTGCTGCATGACACCGTTCCTCAGCTCATTTCTTTTTTTTTTTTTTAAAACATTTATTTTATTTTTATTGGAAAGGCAGATATATAGAGAGGAGGAGAGACAGAGAGGAAGATCTTCCGTCTGATGGTTCACTCTCCAAGCGGCCACAATGGTTGGAGCTGAGTCAGTCTGAAGCCAGGAGCCAGGAGCTCTTCCAGGTCTCCCATGCGGGTGCAGGGTCCCAAGGCTTTGGGCCGTCCTCGACTGCTTTCCCAGGCCACAAGCAAGGAGTTGGATGGGAAGTGGAGCTGCCAGAATTAGAACTGGCGCCCATGTGAGATCCTGGTGCATTCAAGGCGAGGACTTAAGCCGCTAGGCCACTGCGCTGGGCCCTAATTCTGTTTTTTCATGAACCTTTTAAAACTTCCTCACATATGAATCTTTTACTGGTATCACATTTTTGTTACTCTATCTTTGTAGTAAGTTTTGATGTGACAGATATCATTCTTTAACCTTATGTTCTTTGAAGATTGGATGTGTGTGTGTGTGTGTGTGTGTGTGTGTGTGTGTGTGTGTGTTTGTGTTTCCATGTACATTTTGGAATTACCTTGTCAGTTTCTACCAAAAAGGCAGCCAAGAGTTTGGTAGGGATTGTGTTGAATTTACACATTAATTTGAGAAGTCTTGCCTTATTAGCAAGAACACAAAGACATTAGAGTCTTCTAATCCATCTTTATTTGTGTTTCTTTCAATGATACTTTATAGTTTTCAGTTTACAACAAATGCCCATCATCTAAACACATTGGATATTCATACAACAGAATATTATTCATTAATACAAAAATACTGAGCTTTCCTAATATCTGTCACAGCATGGACGAACTTTCCCAAGGCTGTACTAAGTCAAGCAGGGCCCATTGTGAGGCAAAGCAAGTTAAGCCGCTGTCAGCAACATTGGTGTGCAGTATGTACACTAGTTTGTGTCCGGTTTGCTCCTCTTCTGATGCAGTCTCTGCAAATGCAGCAGAACATGACCCATGCACTTGGTTGTACCCTTGCCACTTGGTAGGAGACCTAATCGAAACTCTCAGCTTTTTCTTGTCCGAGTCCTGGCTGTTATGGCTGTTTGGAGAGTGAACCAATGAATGGAATATCTTTCTCCCTGTCTCTCCCTTCTCTCTCTCTCTCTCTCTCTCTAATTCTGCATTTCAAATAGATAAATCCTTTTTTTTTTTTAAATGAGGTCAAACAAACCTACATGTTTTATGATTGACTAGGTTATTCAAATCAGTAGAAAGTAAATCAGTAATACTTGGAAATTTTTAGTTGCTTTTTCCCTTGCTTGTGTGCGGCTCTGTGTTCCACTCATCCTTGCTATTGTGCAGGTAACGCATGCATCTTTCATCTCCTTGAAGGGTATCTTTTCCTAGGATTTCAGGCTACTTGGTTTCCATGTGACCACAGGTGTGTAAAAGACTCAGGAAATGTTGGGGGGCTTGCGTTAGGTGTAGTGATTGAGATGTTATTTGTGGCATCTACATCCCGTATTGTTAGAGTCCTGGCTCCACTTCCAGTCCCTGTTTTCTGCTAAATTACACTCTGGAACACAGCAAATGATTGCTCAAGTACTTGAGTACCTGTTACCCATGTGGAAGACTTGGATCCAGGTTCTGAACTCTTCCCTTTCTTAATTCATCCCTGGCTTGTGGAGGCATTTGAGGTGTGGATAGAAGATCTCTCTCTGTGTCTCTCTGCCTTTTAGATTTGAGTCCCAGGTACTTTTCTTGCACCCCAGCTCCCTGATGATGTTTCTGGGAAAGCAACAGAAAATGACCCAGTAGTCTTGGGCCCCTGCCACCAATATGGGAGACCTGGATAGAGTTCCCAGCTTCTAGCTTCAGCCTGGCCCAGAGTCAGCCATTGTTGCCATTCGGGGAGTGAACCAGCAGGCAGATCTCTCCTGTCTGTAATTCTGCTTTCAAATAAGTGGAGTAACTTGGACTTGAATAACATTCATATGGGATACTAGTGTGTTGGGAAGCAATTTAATGTGCTGTACCACACCATGCCCTGACCTATTGTTTATTGAGTGGACTTGAAATAAATTGAGGAAGTGTACTAGTAGTATGTGAACATTGATTGGCAGATTTCTTATAAAAAACTGCATATGTAATATTTTCTTTCAGGAAAGGGAATCTAATTTCTCATGATAATCTCAGAGAATGAGCTCATTCAGTGGGGAGTTAGAGCATTCATATAAAATGGGCTTACGTCTTAGTTCAGGAATCTCTCCAAGTTAGACAGGTTAGTAGCTATACTTTATTATCTTTTGGGTGTGTTAGTATAATCCATACATGGAGAATACAGTTACTTGCTAAATGAAAAATGATGCATTTTAAATAGAATTGGGAAGAGTTCTGAGGAGTGGTTTTGAAGGTTGAATTTAGTTTTCGTGAGTGGTTAGATGTCTAGAACGGAGACTCTGTATTTGCCGGCTTCAGGGAGATCAGGTTAAGGTGATTAGTTCCAAAGCCAAGGAAGGATCACTGAATTTACCCCTTACAGATCTGTCTTTAAAACTCAGCTGGAACTTAAGCCTGGAGAAAGAGGGTTACCTGTTCTTGCTGAGATTCTGATAATGTTTTGAAGCCCAATAACGTAATATATCAGTGTCTGTATAAGAGAAGCCACAGGAAGCATTCAAACTATCCGTTACAGCTGGAAAGAGAACTTTATTCCCCAGCTAATGAATGCTTATAG